CCAAGTCTGATTCCCTGTAAAGACTTCTCTGTTGACACCCACCCCTTGGCACTCATGTGACCTTATGCAGTTGCGAGCGCCGTAAAACCCTCTACTATAAAAAAAAATTATAAAGTTATTTCAACTTTATAAGACAAAGAGAAAAAAAGCTGAGGTATTTGTTCTTGCCACGAAATACACTGTCCACACATTTCACCTGCAGGGTGTCTTTGGAGGAAATATTGTGACTGTCAAAGAGAGTATGTTGTCAAAACTTGGGAGAGTGGGGTGTGTTTGATTGAGTGGTCGAATTACTGGTCCTTGGTACTGAATGGAGTACCCTCTGGAGAAAGATAGGCCTACTTGTTTCTAGAGGTTTGGGTGGTTGAAATAGAGCCTGTGTTTGCTCACACATGTTGTCAGAGGTACAAACATTTGTTGAAAATTGACACTGGATGTCAGCGAGTGTCTCAGGTGGCACATACAGGGATGTTAGATGTCAATTTTTAGATTTTATAGTAATTTTTTTTTGGGGGGGGACCACCTTTTCTTCTGGTCTACCAAATGTGACTGGTTAGTGCTACCTTCCTACTCTGTAACAACATATGTGTGGATTTGTCTAGAGCGTGACACTTCCGTCCACAATCATTCTGACCATTAAATATTAAATTTAATCGGACTTTTTGATTGGAAGCGTAATTGTTACCGTTTTTGGGTTTTTTTCCCCAAAAATATACTTACAAAATATACGAGATGATCAGATCAGTCAAATATGATGAACAAACTTTGCTTGCACCTTCGGGGTTTAACTCTACAAAGCATTTCAGTTTCAGCCAGTTCCTCATTTTACACTTGTGTCATGCGTTGTCTGAGGGGTGGCGAGTGAATGCATTTTTCATACTATTGCGGGAACTGGCAATTGTTATGTGTTGGAGCCACTGCTTGTTCGACATCTTCCATTGTTTGCATGAACTTCATGTTTATTGTGTACAGCTGCGTGGGTGCAGGAAAGTGATATCTCTACGACCATGGTAGTTTTCATTTATGATATATTTCTGTTTAACCGTCTTAAAATTGGAACATTTGTGAAGAAATATTGGTATGTATTCTATTTATCATGCGGTTCGGTCATTTTATCTTGTTATTGACAATGTTTATAAGAATAAAGACTTAAAAACTGATTGGGTCTATTTTTTCTGTCTGTCGGATGGGTGCTTGACGAATTTGCAATACATCATAGGTTGAACAATAGATAGCAAATTTCAGATCTGTTGCTCAGACCATACTTATTTCATTTTCTTCATTACCAGAAAATTTATTGTTGGCATATTTGCACTGTTTTACAATCTCATTGCAGGTGCATTGATTTGATTTTGGCATAAGCCTGACAATATTGTAACACAGTGATGAAATGTGAACCTTAAATAATGCCTTCTACTTGACAGTAAAGGGATTAACATTGTGGTTGGTGGGTGCTCTGGTGTGGTCTGCTCCTTCTTTGCTATCTATTGTCTATTGTACTGATCTCACCTCCTTCTTTTTTGTGTTTGTTACACTCTTGTAACATCTCATCTTCGGCACTTGTATGGCCTTATTGTGTTGCAAGTGTCTAGAAACTATCTGCCCGTTAAAAAATACTGTTATGACAGAACCCTTGTCATCTTATTCCAGTGGAGAATCCGCAAAAATATTCTGTTATGTTTCTTCATTACATGCACCACTCTTAATTGCTCAGCTGGAAAATAAATCCTTGAAATTATCGGCACATATTAGGACTGAAAATCGAACTGCCACACCTTCCAAAGAAAATAATTGCAAATCACACATTGATACTGCTGGTTTAAAAATGTTAACTTTTTAGGACACACAGACAGGAACGAAGCAAGACGACATTTTTTATCATTCATTTTGTATTGTAAAAAACGATAAAAGTATATTCGATAAAATAATAAAAGGGTAAGATTTTAAAGTAATGATACAAATATGACATTCAAAGCTGTAATCAAGAGGCACATAGGTACTGAGGCAGTCATCAGATCAAATTGAAGAGAATTACAAAAATAGGTTGTTCCTTGCCAATCTTCAAAGTTGACAAAACTCAATGTCTGCAAAGACTGGATATAATATATCAAAAACATGAGGGCAAATGATCACTTGGAGAGGTAGCTCATAGCCTTCGAAAATCTGACCACAACATTTTAAAATTCGCCAAATATTTGTTGTTTCCCTCTCAGAATAAATAAATTTTTGCAGCTCATACCCATGCAACTGCGATGAATTTTCAAGCATTGATAATTTGAGAAAAATCATAGGACCATGCATTGAGCTACACAGCTCATACTTTGCATCCACAAAATAGTTTCTCCAATTTTTTGTAACACCATCATGGAAAGGGAAAAAAATTTTTAAATGCTCCATGTCAAAACGAAGTACAGGGTTTTACGGCGCTCGCAACTGCATAAAGTCATATGAGCGCCAAGGGGCGGGTGTCAACAGAGAAGTCTTTACAGGGAATCAGACTTACTCTGCTTACCTCTCTAGCTTCAACAGAACTTTTGTATGTAAAAAAACCAACATGTCTTACATCACAAAGATCCAAAATTTAGAGGTCCCACCTCATAAATAACCTAACAGTGTTGAGAGGGGTGTTAAACTCATACTCTTACCATTTGCTTACAAAGATCCTTTGTCAATAGCATCACAAAGATCCTTTTTCAAAGTCTACAACAAAGAAATCTTGGCCATTAACAGAGATAGATTTAGCCCCTTCGTCATCTACATGACACATGGCGTTTTTCATTTTTTTCTTAGACGACAAAAGATCCAAGTTGCTGCTGTGACGGCGAACCTTGTGAAGTGCAAGAAAAATGATGGCGAACACTGTTTGTCCTAGGTAGTCTTTTGCATATTGCTTCTATTAGTATTAGATACATTTCGTAAAATTAATTGCAGATTCGCATTCAGGAATATTTTTTTACGTACAAAGAAATCTTTTCCTTTTAGATATAGTTAGTAGTATTTGAAAACCAGGTCTAAGTATAGGAAACTGACCACTAAATCTAGTGCTACTCTACGTCCCTGGGGACCCAAAACACTGTGCCCGCTGAAGCATGAACTGACCCTGTGCCACGAAGGGTTAAAAAACTCTTGGGATCTCTTTCTGCCTGGCTCCGCCTCCTCCAACTACCTAGTTCACCTTTCTATGGTCAGACCACCATAATTCTCCCAAAGATGTTCATCAGTCCTGAAGTGATAGGGTTAAGGCATAGTATTGGAATCCCACCTGATACTGGCCCACATATTTTCTTTCACGAAAGAGAAAAGATGAAACCTGCTTGATGTCAAATACACTATAATATGACAAACCCACATCTTTCTAACACCCCCTCAGCAACCTTGGCAGATGACACAGCTTTTTACATATATGTGAGTGTTTATCTATATTACATAGCATTTGAACATAGCACTGATAGACGCCAAAGCGCCATTGAGCACTTCTCCAGCTTGCCTCGTACCTATTCATCAGCTTCTTTGACAAAGTTCCTCCTCACCTGAAAATTGTAAGCACTTCCTGCTTGCATAAAAAAACCACAAGCCAGCCAAATACCAGAATGACCCAATAGTGATGGGAACATATCAAACCTTCACAACTGTCTTATGGGATGGCTTATCACATTCCAACTTTCCTAGCAGAAAAAGTGATTTGTGGTTGGCATTTTACATCTTCATTGACACAAAATGGGGGACTTAGGCGGCAGGCTGCTTTGGCTCTACCAATAGACACCCACTGAGGCTGTGTGGAATACACTGGCGCACAAAGATGGGAAATGATCCAAGAATTATTATCCTCACATGGGACCGAAATCAAATCTGTGACATGCAGAGCAAAAATACATTTGTACCTAACAATACACCTCAGACATTTGCACAGGAACAATGTTAATGAACACATTACACGCAGAACAAACATAACAGTATAGAGACACCGTTACACGAATGAACACATCACACCTGCAGTCGGCAGAAACAGATCAAAGGCGTGAGAAAATGGAATAAAACTGGAGAAATAAAATGTACTTGTCACAGCAAAAAGGCGTGCATGGCTTCAAAATAAGATAATTTTGATATAATATAACAAATGTGGTTCCCTCGTCCAACAGATACCAAGACAGGAATGGAAGCAGTTGGTGTAGTGCACTACGAAAAAAAGAAGATCACAAAGAATGAGGACTCTTAATTTAGAAATGTCAACATACATCAGAGCGTTACCAAAGAAATAATAATAATAATAATAGATAGCATTTGTATAGCACATATTCTTGCTCACAGCAAGCTCTAAGCACTTCACTGCCTTTACAATCTATATCATTACCCCAGCAGACCTGACAGCATTCTGAAACAATCTCAACCTCCTGGGAAACATACAGTGCAAACTGCCATTTTTTAATAGAAGCTAAAACATTGACATACTGACAAGATCTTTTGCTGTCTCGGGCCAGATACCCATTCTCACCAGGGTGAAGTGAACAAAATTTGTGTCAAGGACAGAAAGTAGGGCCGGAGGCTCCAACCCCTGAACCAGAAACCTATCGAATACGAGGCCGGTAGCCTAACTACTGGACTGTCAAAATGTATAAAAAGGAAACACATACAGTATGATACAGTGAAGGCGTTGTCACTTTATAGCCTACTATAGATTGGACTCCAGCAAAAAGAATAAAGGGAAATAGAGAATAACTGAATTCATGAACAAACTGCAAAAACTGATATACAGATTGGAAATATGTTTGCCATTATACTATGGTGATCATTATTCTCAAAAGTCCCAACACCAGTCTTATACTCCATCTACTTCGACTTCCTGCCCGCCTATTAGACTTTTTTTTCTCTTGTATTTGTAGTTTAATTATTACATTTTTGTTTGTGTTCCAAATCACTGTTTATTTCAGTTAGAAATTCAACTGTATCCAGAGAGAGTCTGATTTTTCACTTGATACTTGTAGTTATTTACTTCTTTTAAAAAAAAATGGTTTCCTTGTTTCATTTTATTTATGGTTATGACTTTAAAAAAGATAAAATAATTAAGATCTATAGCTACAAGAACACTAGGCCTTGTTAGAAAAATGCAACATTAACTACAATGAGTTCATCAAAGTTAGTTTGAAAAGTGGCATGAGCCAGATGAAGTCAACCACATGGTGAGTATCTGAATTAAATAACACAAATATATAAGAACAAGAATTACTATTTTCAGTAACATTTTAAAACACATTGCAAATACATGTACAAAAGTGTACAGGTATAACAAATAAAAGACATACACGATTCAGGGGGAAAAATGTAGAAAAATGTTCATCACTTTAATTCAGCAATGGGTAGAGAAAGTAGTGGAAAGGCTAGGGTCAAATTATAAAACAAAACAAAAACAGAACAAAATGTCTGTTCTTGTGTGGAAAGACATTGAACTTCAAACTGACCATTTAATATGAGAAACATAGCAAAGTGGTGGATACATTATGACATTAAGTTAGAGAAAAAAGTACTTATGTATAGTCATGCGTCCTTTGGAAAGGAAGGACCACACCACTTCCAATACACCATCTCGGTCCTCTAAGGACAAACAGCAACGCAGGCTGTAAAGAGCATCTTACTATTATTCCACCAGTATGTGTCTACCAGTTGCCAAATACACATGTGTACCTACCAGAACTGATGTAAATAAGACAAAGTAACTTTTCTAAAGAATGTATGTCTCACTGGCCCAAACTGGGAGTATACCTCAGAACTTTAGCTCTGAATAAAGTACAGTTACCCCCCCCCCCCCCCCCCCCCCCCTCAACTCTCTTCCTCAAAAATGACAAAAAGGGGAAATGAGGACAGTGACTGTTGCTAGACAACACAAGCAGTTACATAACACTAGGAAAATTTTGAACACACAGAAATCGCAATACATTATGGAAAAATTTAGGATTGTATAGTGAACCCCTGTGAATCAACTGACTCAGCGTAGTTTTAGTATGCGTTCTACAGCACTTGCAACACAATAAGGTCATATAAGCGCAACAATTACAGGCGTTTTAAGAGTGTAACAAACACAAAAAAGCAGGAGAGATCAGGGTGATATATGTTTGAAAGGAAAGAAGGAGCAAACCACACCTGAGCACCAGATGACCACCTAAAAACCAAGACGAAAATTTCTAATCACATTTAAGAGAATGTATGACACATAACACAGAACATTCTTGAACAGGCCACAATGATTTTACCACAGATAAAATATAACGAAAAGATGACTGCGTCCTCTTAATTGGGACTTCAGGGGCCACTGAAACAAGGTTGTAAAAGAAGACACATGAATGAACGTGGAAACAGCTTGGAGGTATAAATGACAGCACACCAGGACTTCGTTTTTTTTCTTTTGTACAAATTTAACACTCTACAACTACAATAAAGAAAAAGGATATTTTAAAGGTGGGGTCGCGTTCTAGAGGTAAGAAAAGGGTAGAAGGAATAAATGAACACAGAAAGATGGCCTAAGTCATGCCAGCCAACTTGTCACCTGGATGACAACCTGCTTACAGGTCGGTCAACCGAGTTCTGTCCTGGACTCTGCTGGTGCGGCACCAAAAGAAAACTCGTGATAAATCATAAATGCTGTCCAGTAATATGTTTACACTTAGCCATACAGAAATACTGGCCTACAACGTCAAATTCCAATGGATAACACCAAGAAAAAAACAGACCGACAGCATCAAAGAGACCCTCAAAAAGTACAGCATTGCGATCCAAAAGGCAACACACCTGGCCCACATGGAGCAATTTCATTTCCCAACAACATTTAGAGGTATAAGAGGACAGAAATGTACAGTAAGTAGAAGTATCCGCAAGTGGTCACAAGAACATCAGTATTTCCTGAGGAAGCAGAAAAGTTTGAGTAGAGACAAGCACACTGACATGATAGGAACGATACCTGTAGGGAAGTGGACGAAGATACAGAGAGCATTGCCAACAAGCAGGAGGACCATACATTGCCAGAGCCCCAGCTATCCTCCCCTGACTAGACCCAAGATGCACAGAAATGGTTGTCATTTGCCAAAATACACCATTTAAATATTCATATATATATACGTTTTCTAAACTTTTGATTATAGAAATGAACTATCAAACACCATTAGTACTGTCTGAAGGCATGAGACTGAGACAGAGAAAAAACAACAAGGCCTACTGTGAGATCAGAAACACACACCATTCAGAGTTCTGGGATCTTGAAGCCAAGACAACTTGACTGACATTTATGTGGAGTTCAAGTCTATAAAGAGTCAGCCAGATAATGCCAACATCTCGCTCGCCACCGACTGATTTAGAAAATAAATAGAATCTTGTAGTACAGAGTCTGCAAAGTAAAATCCACAATTCAGCTGGAATAGATTACGGTAACAGTAACACAGATAACAGACAGAAGGAGCAGACCACATTGTAGGACTAATAACAGCACTGAAGTCATATCCCAAACACACACACATAGAGAGTTATTGCCGACAGAGGACCGAGGAGCACACGTAAGAAATAATGAAAACACCATACCACTCAAGACACAAAACCTCTACAGACATATTCACCGTTTATAGTTTTACACATACGTTGATTTGAGCATAAGCTTATATATTAGAATAATAATGATCAAAATGTGGAAACACCGTTTGCAACAAATATGAAATAAACAGAAAAAGCGTGGCGCAAATTAATCGACTAGCAATAAATGAAATTTCATTGCAAATGCATATATATTAAAGACTTAAAGTCTATGGCTACTAGGCACACAGTAGGATTACGCTTCTTCTACCAGCTGCTACCCAGGATCAGAATACCTAGTCGGGAAGTTAGGCGGTCAGACCAGCCAATAAATACATGCCAAACAGAAGTTGTCTAGAGTAGATTGTGACTTTTATAAGAATCAGTACCATGTGAAACAGGTCCATGATAATAATGAACCCCCCAATGACCAGCAAACGGCCTTAGTCAATGTGCACATTAGTACCTGTCTGGCACTCCTTTGATGAGACACTATTACCAATTTGGTTTAGGAGAAAGACAAAATCTCTCCTCAATTTTTCACACAAACTTTGCTGTTATGAAGAGTTATTTCCTTCAACGCCATTTTCTACTTTACCTAAAAATAATCCCAAAATGTTCATTTTTGCAGATACAAGTTTGGCTGAGCTAGACTAACAACAATTCAGGGACATCTCGCCTGAGATATCAATACTAAACAGAAGTAGCAGAGGAAGACCGTGTCAGAGCCCGAAGAACTTCCTTTACTGGCCAGACGTAAAAGAAAACCACACCTTAAGAGAAAACCACATCCAAATATCAATCACCTGACTCATCGACATGTAAACAAAACATATTAAAAAAGAAACAGTTTATTTGGGATTTGATTGAACAAATCATCCTCAGGTATGAACGTTATTCACAAAAGATAGGCCAAAAGTCTAAGAGTATTCCAACTGGTTACAAAAGAAAGTTTACTATGTACAAACTGAGAAAAAACAATGCTAGAGTACAATATACGTGTCTACTAATGTATGCTTCATAAACAAGTGCAAGATACAAGTATGAACGAGAAAAAAAGCAAGTGTTGCAATTTTCACAAACAAGGACATAATATCATAGTAGAAAAGAATTCAAATTGCTCCAAATTTTAAGTTATTACAACATGCCAAACAAATTGTTTCAATTTCACAGACCAACAATATAGCACCGTGCACACTGGGAAAAGCAGTAGTACAAAAAAAAAGATAGAACCAATTACCCAACTCAAGAAAGATACTACCAGTAAATCCCAAACATTATTCACAATATCAATCTTCTACTTCTCGAAATCTTAAGCATTCATGTCATTCTTTCAAAGGTGTATGGCCGTGTCTTACACTAAAAGATCGATTTCCTCTCCCCTCCCCCCACTCATTACACCTCATATTTTCCATGATATTGTATGCCTTATTGTTTTCCCATAAATAGTTTGATCCATGCATGGACTTGTCATATTATTTCGTTACAACATTACAGAAGACAAACCCAGTAAACCAGAGAGAGAAGCCTGTCATAACTTGGTGAACATTGTTGACCCCCTCATGGCAAAGAGACACACGGTTTCTACAATTTCCAATGCACAGAAAACAAATAGCAACATTTTTATAGTTATGAAAATGACTTCTTTGAACACTAAAAAACTCAAACAACCAACAACTCCAAATCACAAATCCATTAAACCATGTTGTCGCTTAAAATTTTTTACATTTCATATTCTAAATTCTTTTATCCAATCCACAAAATTTTTTTTTAAAAACCCACAGATAGCAAGAACAAGTAGTCCTGTTATGAGAGAGACAATAAAAAATTTTATGTTAATGGTCCACATAATCAAGTTTTGAGCAGTTGTAAAACTTTAACCTCACGTTGAAAAATACAAGCCGACAATTTCGTCCTGATATATATAGCACAAAAATGACTGGCACAAACTGATTACAAAAGTTTACCCCGACATATATGGTGACTGTGTTTCTTCAAAATTTGATTTTAAAACTCTTGTAAAAAAATTGAAGATTAAAAAAGCACCGGCGGAAGCACACCGTAAGCTTGTGACTACAACCAGAAACATGCAGTATAAAGTACTGCGAGAGAAACACTCAATGGCACTCGGTACATCACCATGATGGAAAGAAAGCCAATCTCAAGATTTGAAAGAAATAACACAGACTTTTTTTTGGCAATTTTGAAAAAGGTGGGCCATGACACACATCCATTAAAAAAGACAGACATATTTTCATCAAAGTTGTAGGCACTGTTCCAGTATGACAGACAACAGTGGTCAACATTTTCAGTCCAGTGATGTGTGGGTGACTAATTAGGTCAATGCATGCCAGTAAATAAGTCACAGAGAGTGCCCATAAGTGTGTTAGTTAGTACTCCTGTCTTCCTATGTGCAATGGTGTGCATTTCTTTGAGTGTGTGTGTGGGCGCGCGCGCGTGTGTGTGGGCGCACGTGTAAGGGTGTGTGTGTGTGTTCATAAGTAAGCGCCCGAGTGTGTTTGTGTAAGTGTAGGTGTGTGAAAGTACATGGCTGCAAATGTACATGTGTGTATATTTTATATTTAATTGTGTAAGCGTCTTTGAGTGTGTGAGTAATTGCAAACAGGCGGGTGCTTGAATGTGTGCCAAACTTTGCTTTTGGTCTCTACCTGCAGGAAGAACATTGACCTCAAGTAAGTTCACCAAAAGCATTTTTTTCAAGCATCATATACAAACAGATGAAACTTGTTCAACGTCCTCTGAACCAGCAACAAATCTTTAACTTTGCCCCCTCGTCAATAAACACAGAGACCAAGATGAGAAAGATTCCAATCACAACCTGAAAGGTAAAAATGTTTCACATATGCAGTCACACACACAGACCCACATCACACACATATCGACACAAACACATGTTCAGATTTTTAAGCTTCCAAAAAAAATCAACCACCACTAATATCTTTCAAATATAGACTCTACAGCCCTTCATGCATAGATAATTAAGTAAACAATACTGTGCTAACGAGGAGTGAGCAGAATTGACAAAACAAACTTTGGACAAGTGGCCACATCAATTACATCAAGGGAAGAAGAAAACATCATTACATCAATCGTATCCGGACACATCTAGCTAGGAATAAAACCACCACCACCTCAGGATTTGTCAAATAAAACAAGTATTCAGTCTAATTCCTGTCTTTACATAATTGCTGGGAGATACAAAGATGGGAAAATTGGGATATTCTAATTTGAAAGCTCAAACTCCTCAATTCTAGCTTTTCACCTTCACATACCAATGTGTGCATCTTGAAAATTCCTCATCCAAAAATAAATCTGCACATTAATATTAACAAAAACCAGATATTTTCTGCACAAATAATAAGCTTCCGAACAACTTAATGACTTTTAAAAAGTCAACCTCGCTGTCTTTTGGTGGTTAGCATAATATCCTCATAATTTGAAAATATTCCAACAGCGTTCAAATTAATCCCTATCTTTGAAAGTCCTCTTCATTTTTTATAGTCCCTTATTTAATCATTTTGCAGCTAGAAAGGGATAGTTTTAATCTACAAATAAACCAAGATGATGTCTTTTAAGGACTGTGAGCAAAAAGTCCCAAGAATAACCCCACAGAGACTTCATTTAATCCCTTCTGACATCAGACAAAAGGAGAAATGGAAAGAAGAGTCAAACAGCGACATTACTCTTGACCAATAAATCTTGTTAATATGCTGCTTTTATACCATAAGATGTCACATCTGAGCTAGAAAACATGCAGAAGAATATGATATTAGGGCTTCGGTTAAGAGTTACAAAAATCTCAAACACATGAACTTATCAGTTACACCAGTTGGAGATTCAATGTATCCTCATACAGCTAGAAAAATGTCCACTGGTGATTCAAACCAACTAGACGTTTAGTTGTCAGACATCTTGTGCTGTTGACCTATTTGTTCTTGGGCACGTAGAGTAGACGCTTGAGATTCTTGGTCTTACTCATGTAGTAGGGACGCTCATCACTGCCGTCATTACGCTCCAGATCTTCCACTGAGGACAATAACACAAAACAAGATTGCTTCAGCGTTTAGATTTAATAGGCAGTTTATAGCACTTCACCTGCAACACAATTAGTATTAGGTCATATAAGTGCCAAAGATTAGAAGTGTTACAAGAGAGTAACAAACAGAAGGTAGGACAAGAGATAAGGACAACAGATGTTTGATAGGAAAGAAGGAGCAAACCACACCAGGGGCACTGTGAACCACTCGCTGCTTCAGTGTGACATCACAGCCATGCTGCAAACCTTCCACAAAAAATATAGTACAGTATAAATTAAAGAAACTTCGCTTTTGTGCCACATCTGAGCAGCTAATCTTCTATTATGAATAGTCAATGTAAAAATATGCATCTGCTTCTATATGATGTTAGAACCACCATCTAGAACTTTCATTGGGAATATCATAACTGGCAAAGTGTTTCAGACAGACAGAAAAAACATTTGTGGGTGGTACAAAAAAACCTTCACATAAGTCAAAACTTCCATATTGAGATATACACAATTTCCGATTAAGAACACCTTTCTGGGTAATTTGCACTATATTTCAAGCCAAAACCTTCAAAAGCTCAAAAGTTATGACCATTTTGAATGACATAGGGTAGGGGAAAACATACAGAGGATTAAATCGCTTTTAACCCCTTTGTTGCCTTATGACGTACCTGATACGTCATGAAAAAGCGTAATTTTTAGCGTTATGCTGTACCATGTACGTCACGGAAGTTGGAAAAATTTGCCACTTCTGGTTGCCTGTATGATGTTGCATGTACATCACGCTAATAACATGGCTATAATTCTTCAGTACGGAATTTTTGCCACAAGTGCTGCATAGATTCGTATTCAGGAATAAAAAACGCGCATATAGGTACCAAATTTGCTAGTATTACTTTCCAGCTAGGTTTGCAAGCAATAGATCAACACAGATCCAGGCTTGCGGGCGGTCACGTGCTCTCATAAAACGTAAACATCGAAATAATTATAAAACGGCAAATAAATTCACTCTTTGACTCACATTTGCAGGTTATTCCAAATTATGAGCAAGATGGGAGGAAATGAGAAATAAGAAAAGTGAGATATAAGAAAAGTGAGATAAGTGACGCAATCGAAGACCCAGTGTCCAAATATGTCATGAGTGTGCTAGATCTTGACCCGGCGTCCATTTACACTGAGACATTAGGCTGCTGTCCTGGAAAACGAGCTCAGCTGAAAATAAGTCTTGACAGTAGGAACACATACCCTTCGGCAACGAAAGGGTTAAAATCAAAGTTGGCAATTTGTTCAGTTTATGGTACGGTCAAGAGAACAAAAAATTAGAAGATTACCTTAAATGTTGGGCTACTGAAGGCATTTGCATAAGGCACACACACAAAAAAATATTTTTTAAAGCGGAACTTCTTTCACAAATACGCCCCACTGGTTTATGAGCCACAGCAGATTCCACAGTTTCGAAAAGTACTCACCCATCTGTTGGGCCGTGTTTCTAAGGCATATGCTAGAGTGTGGTGTTGAAAATATGTTAAAAAATTTTATGTTTTAGGTGTATGCTAAGTAGCTCCCACAGTTAGGAAAATTCACAAATAAGCCACATCGTTGTTTAAGCCACTGGCTTTTAAAGCTCAGGAAAAAAAAGTGGTGGCTTACAGCCAGAACTTTATGGTAAACACTGATTTCACAAATATTTTTTATTGGAAGAGATGCTAACTTAATTTTCACGCATAATCCCAACTTTTCTCAGATGACTCCTTATTGAGTCGAATGGCACATACCTAAGAATCCCCCCCAGCAAGAAGCTACATGTTTTCTTGTGTCTCAATATAAATAACATCTATCTTTAAAATTCTCATAAAATGGACTATTCGTTGTGAATGCCTGCAGAACCATATGTTAGGCATCCTGGTGAAATAAAGTGTTTGTCAAAATAATATAATCAAAGATGACGACAATTTTCACGTTGGTTTGGCAATTTTAATCGGACTTCTGTTTTTTTGACTCAACATCTTTTGTGTCCATTTAAAAACATACTTTTGTCTGGATTTTCCTGACGACAAAATCAACAGTGCTTCACTGTCAAATGCCCTATTCGTTTCTACCAAGATGATAAACTCATTTTTTAAAATACAATAAAGCAAACCCTGCCATTCAGAATTTCTGTGGAAGAGAAACTAAGCAACGGCCTTTATACTGTACTCACAAAAGCATATGAAAATGGTATCGACGGCCATACTGTAGACATCAAAGAAGGAGTCAGCGATGAGGTACGTTCCAATCGAGACAAGCTGGGAACACACAAACAAAAAAAAAACCCAATCTTTTATGTTTTTATAAGTAATACTATTGTAAATATAGATGCCTTACGCCCCAGTCGACATAATTTAAATTATTCAGGAGGCAAGTTATTTCGACTCTACCTTTCAGGGCCGAACTCACCTGAGAAGGACACAACATATCTCAGGAAATCGACCGAGATACTCAACAGAAAAGCCCTCCCCTGATGAGAAATGAATTCGCGTCTACTGTGTGAGATGGCAAAGCGCATATTATAACATTACAGACGCCAGTCTGTGTTTTAAGTATGTGTGGGGGAAGAAAAATATTGGGGTGTTATTTAAAATATCCTTTAATGTTTGCAGTTTTTTTTGCATTATCAGCTTGTGTGCAGTCATTGTGTGTTGCTGACTGGATTTCCTACATCACTATTGTCATGACCACACAGGATGGAATGTCCCCATCATAACAAGAACCATAGAAAGACCAGTCCAAGCAAGGGATGGAAATAGAGGGGTAAATATACAGTCGACCAGCTCTAAAGGTCACCTTCACAAAACTGTCATCTGTACAAACGGCCACTTCCCCCACCTGTTCCTTTAGTATTTTTTTTACGTTAAACTGCCATGGGGTAAGATGGCTGGGTTTAAGACAGCAAATTTTCTCCTGAACATTTGTGGATTTGAAATTTTTCTATTCTTCTAGTCTTGAAAAAGCTGCTATCAAATGTGCAACACATATATCTTTAAAAGGCAAACCCCTATAAATACGCTCAGTACACCAAAGTAGCTGTCAGGAGCTACGCAAGTTACTCGCCCTCTTAGTGATTGACTTCTGGGTGGAATGAGCTTGCTATACGCCCAGTGCAAATTTTACCCATCTGTGAAAGTCTTTTTTTCCAAAAAAAAATACAACTATTCCTCAGTATTCTACACAATACCCCATCTCCCTCCCCCAGCCATCAACCTCCCAATCAATCAAATGCCATACTTACAATGACAGGAGCCAGGAAATAGTTGAGATCAGGCGTGACCTTCTCAAACAGTGGCAGGTCACCTTGGAACCAGAAGAAGGCCAGGACAGCTGTCAGAGGTGAAGGTCAGGCGGAAGAAGAGAGAAAAAAACCCCATCAGACATCAGTACCATACTGAGGCAATGTTGACACATCAGAACAATATTGAGACAATTAGCCATGAAGCAATGTTAGGAACACTTCTCCACTTCTCGAGAAACACTTGCAGAGACTGAGAATCAACTCTTTCCAAATTGACCCAGTTATGCTTGGACCGTGTTACTGGAAAATATAGCTTAACTCTTTTTTTCTCTCTCTGAAGCCATTTGTAAGACTTTTGCTGAGATCAATCTGCTGGTTCTCATCAATAAAGTTAAGCGGGGG